CTCAGAAAAAAAGAAAAATTTATTTTGGCAAACAAAAAAAAACTATCCAGACATTTTTTTGGGAAATTTCCCCCGAGGGATATTTAAATTAACCCTCCCGCGGAAAAAACTAAAATGGGAACAGACAATGTCCTTTTTATAAAATGTTTTTGCGAAAAAAGTCCCAAAAAAGAAATCAAATGGGGTTTAAAAGAGAATGCCACTAGCATAGCAAATTGGGGGATTCCCTTTGGGGAAAAAAGCTTTAAATGTGGACACAAGACCAAAAGGGGAAAAAAATGGGAAAAAAATTAGGGTCCTCAGCATGGGAAAGGGGGCGTAAAGCATAACATCCCCACAATGTAAAAGTCGGGTAGGGGGGAGAGACCCCAATTTACAAATTTTATGGGAAAAGTGGGGGCTAGCCCCACAGGGGCAAAGGGCCCTCGAAAAGCCCTTTCCCGGCTACCAAAAAAATTGTGAATTTAAGAGAGAGAGAGATCATTCCTTTTTACAAACTTTAAATTACTAAGACAAAATAACGGGAAAAATTGGTAAGGGACTTGTACAAATGAGATTGTGAAAAAAAAGTTCATAGAAACCAAATTTTTTTAGCAGTAAAAGAGGGAAAAAGAAATTCAGTTTCCCAAAACTTTAAAAAAACATGATAAGTTTTTATTAAAAAAATGAAAATCTAGTTTTTAAAAGGGCATTAAAACCCAAGGGACAAACCTGTTTCCTTTTCTTTTCTTATCCTCAAGGGAGGCATAAAATAAAAGACTAGCCACAGCTCTATTATCCCTTTTTTAATGGGTACCAAAAAAGCATAGGAGTTCTATGGTAAAACCCAAAAATTTGGGAAACGATAAAGAATAGTCCCTTTCCCGTTTCCCAAAAAAAATAACACGTTCAAATGATAAAAAAATTTTAAATTTTTTTGACCCTGGAAAGAATGGGGAAAAATCAAAAGGAATACCAAAATAAAACACGGGAGAAACCCCAAAAGAATGACTGGAATGTGGTATTTTAAACCCTTTAAAAGGTCCAAACAATCGACGGTTTAAAAATTCCCTTGTGCTAAAAAAGTAGATCTAAATTTTTTTTTTTTTTTACATATTTTCAAAAAAAAAAAAAAAATTAGATTAAAAATTTTTTCACCCTTTTCAAATGTAAAAAAAAAAAGAAGTCTACCCTTTTTAAAAAACGTATAATACGTTGGAAACCCTTTAAGGGTTTTTGACTTGGATGTAATTATATTTGATGACCTGCATTTTAGGGAAAAAAATAAGGGAAAAATTGGAAAGGGGCCCAAAAATTGACAGGGTGGTTAATGAGAACTTTAAAAACAAGAGAAATGATGCTAGTGGTAACACACTATTCACATCACTTTCACCTTGTTCAGAAAATTGTTCAGTGTTGATAGCTCCATTCTAAGCAGGAGAGAGATCTGAACTGGAAAAGATACAGAGATCGCTTACTGCCCGCCTAGAACCAGTAAAACATTTTAAATATTTGGAATACCTCATTGTACTGGGAATGTACTGTTTGAACTAAAGAGAGATACATGACAGTGTATACATAGAAGATACTTGATGGCCTAATTCCAAATCCACAGACCACCATAACATACTAGAGTAAGAGAGATGGTAGAAATCATAAAATAGACTTAATAAAATGCAGAAATGTCATGAGCACAATAATAGAACACTGTTCCAACATCTATGGTCCAAGACTATTTAGCCTACTATTAGCAGATACCAGAAATATTGCCAGAATAAATATAGTTTTCAAAGGAAAACTAGATCACTACCTCTGCCCAGTGTCAGGTCAGCCAGGATGATGGATATATGGTCCAGTCTAGTTGAACAGACAGTTGACAAGCCCAGCCCCAGGTCAGGCTGCAAGGGTAGTAAAACTCTTGAAATTGGTCACATGTATGAATTGATAACCACAGCTTAAATGACAAAATAGCTAATTCTTTCTGTGCTTTCTGATGATCTATCTACTCTGTTAAGATAAGCATTATTAATAAAATATCTTGCACAGCTACTTAAATCACTCTTTATTATGATATGTAATACATGATAAAATATGTCTCACATAGCTACATAGGCCTATATTTATGCTTTATCTTGATAAATGATATTCAATACAATGTGTCTTATGTAGTTACATAGACCACTGGTTATGCTTTATGATGATAAGTGATAGTATAAGATACCTTGTGCAGCTGCATAGTCAGATACTCATGCTGATAAGTGACAGATTATCCTTGTTGGTATTTAAGATTTTTTTTTTTTTTTTTTTTTTTTTCTCAACAAGTCGGCCGTCTCCCACCGAGGCAGGGTGACCCAAAAAAGAAAGAAAATCCCCAAAAAGAAAATACTTTCATCATCATTCAACACTTTCACCACACTCGCACATTATCACTGTTTTTGCAGAGGTGCTCAGAATACAACAGTCTAGAAGCATACACATATAAAGATACACAACATATCCCTCCAAACTGCCAATATCCCAAACCCCTCCTTTAAAGTGCAGGCATTGTACTTCCCATTTCCAGGACTCAAGTCCGACTATATGAAAATAACCGGTTTCCCTGAATCCCTTCACTAAATATTACCCTGCTCACACTCCAACAGATCGTCAGGTCCAAGTACCATTCGTCTCCATTCACTCCTATCTAACACGCTCACGCACGCTTGCTGGAAGTCCAAGCCCCTTACCCACAAAACCTCCTTTACCCCCTCTCTCCAACCCTTTCGAGGACGACCCCTACCCCGCCTTCCTTCCACTATAGATTTATATGCTTTCCATGTCATTCTACTTTGATCCATTCTCTCTAAATTTTTTATTCCTGTATATTTGCATGCTTCTGTTAATGAATTAGCCTGAAATGTACATTGAATGTGTTTGGCCTTACCAACTAATAGAGCATCATTTTGCCACCACATTGGGAAAGGGAGGAACACTTGATCAAAACTATTAGTTGTGCTGATTCCTAATTTAAAAGAGGCATGAAATATAGCTTGATCTTCGAGTTGAGTACTGTACTTCATGAAAGATATTGTTCATTAAAGATATTTTTCACTTGAATCATTGACAGTGTCTGTATTAGTTAATAGTGATACTCCCAGTGCCATTGCTACTTCTATCCACTGGGATAGGAGTGGTAAATAGGTAGTACACATATTTTTCATTTTGTACAGAGGGTCGAGTCTTCATTACTCCATAATCCTGAATGATCCACATGGGTGTAGTTGCTTCATGTAATTTTTTTAACTCGATGGCCATCTCCCATTAAGGCAGGGTGACCCAAAGAAAACACAATCACCATCATTAATTCAATCGCTATCTTCTCAGAAGTGTGCTGAGATCACAATCAGAGTACCCTCCAACTGCAGCATCCCCACTCCTTCAGAATGTTGGCACTGCCCCTCCTACCTCCAGAACTCAAGTCTGTCTAACCAGTTTCCCCTGAATCCCTTCACTAAAAACCACTTGTCCCCATTCACTCTTATCTAACACACTCAGACAAGCTGCTTGATGCTTAACCCTTTCAGGGTCCTGACCCAAAGTCTGAGACTTGTCCACAGGGTTCAAGAATTTCCATTAAAAATTTTGTTATTTATTCTTATGAAATGGTAGAGAATCTTTTTCTGAAGGTAATAAAACAAAAAGTATGAAATTTGATGGAAAATTTATGAAATTATGCTCTCTCGAATTTTGATGCATCAGCAATATTTACGCATCGGCGATTTTGCCAACTTTGACTCCCATTTTAGGCCAATTACGTTATTCCAGTCGACCAAATTCTTAGTCATTTCACTAGTATTACTTCTATTTTATCGACTGAGCACAAGAAATCACCAAGTCAACTGTTTCAACTACCCAGTAAAGTGATGGGAAATTGTGTTAAATTGGCCAAATTACCAAAGTTCAAAATATTCCAATTTCAGAATAGGGTCCAGAATAAGCAATGCAGGCATTCATGGCACTAAACTAACACTTCCTCTGTTCATTAGGCTTTACAAGTGAATTCCATTTTGATTTTTTATTCACATAATGAATTTTTATTCAAACCAAAAAATGGAAGATTTGCTGTTATGCAATATTGAAATAATTGTATAAATAATATCAACACATTTATGAAAGTATATTAGACCCACCAGCTGACGCGTATTAGACACGTGACGTCATTTGTTTACTCTTGAACATTGGCAAAAATTTAACATTTTGGCTACTTTGAGCTCAGTTTCAAGCCATTTTCAGTACTAAAACCAATAAAAATCATCTCTATTTCTATTATATATCTTCCATTCTATCAAATGAGACCAAGAAATTGCAAATACAACTATAAAAAAAAGTACGAAAAACACCGCAAAGTCGCTGTTTTAATCCAAAATTACTGTCTCTGTTTTTCTCTCTCATTATGCACTGTGCTGCAGATTTGTTTTATGTGGTGCACACTTACCACATAGATGTATTCTCTCATATCAAGGCCCAAATTTACCAGTCACAGCTTACCTGAGTGAGCTGAGCTCATGGCGTAGAACTACAGTTTGGACCCAAAACTCAAAGCCGTAGAACTATGGCACGGACCCTGAAGGGTTACGTCCCTCACTCTCACAGCCTCTTTTACCACCCCCCCTTAAACCATTCCTGGTAAAACCCCTACCCCTCCTCAGATAAGTAAAAGTATAATAATTATAATAATACTCACATTATTCCTTGGGAACTACACATTGCTGATGTACATTGGCTTTTGCTAGATAGGATGTTAGTTAAATGAATGTTTTGAAAATATTCTGATCACAGTGTGATAAGAATATGTAAACTGAGCATGACTGATATTGTTAGAGTACTAAAATCTGATTATTTGATGTGTAAAAAGTACTAGAAGTTATTTTATGCAAATAAAAATCATAGCTTATTTTAATTAGGAAGATCTAAGAACTTTATATTAGATTAAATTTGTCTTAAAATTCTGTATTTTGTATAATGGTTTTGAATATTTTCAGATGTGTGCTTATGGCTTTGGCTATGGGAATAGTGCCATTTTTACCAGCTACAAATATCTTCTTTCGTGTGGGATTTGTGATAGCTGAGCGTGTGTTGTACCTACCTGCTGCTGGGTTCTGTATCCTGGTAGTGACGGGTATGAGGGAACTTGGTGCAACTAACCATGTCAGTAAGGTGAGACTTTTTTTTAAATGTTCCAAATACGATAATTTATTTGATGTGAGTAAAGAAGTTTGAAAATAACAGAACATTTCTGCAAGTTACTGGTTTTAGGATCACTTAAATGTGAATTGACCACTCTACCAATTGTGCTGTTACCAACTGATTGTCGTAGGCCCTAATTGATACATAAAATCTACTTTTTACCCAGTAATTCCTACCACTTTATGGTAATATGATTCATTATCTATATGTAAGACATAAATGTCATAAAATCCACATTTTATAAGAGTATTTCAAAACTAAAATTGTCTCAATCTCATTATGTATAATATGCTAAAATATAATTCTGCAACTTGTTATTTAACTACAGTGGACCCCCGGTTTGCGATATTAATCCGTTCCAGAGAGCTCATCGTAAACCAAAATTATCGAAAAGCAAATCAATTTTCCCCATAAGAAATAATGGGAATCAAATTAATCTGTGCAAGACACCCAAAAGTATGAAAAAAAAAATTTTACCACATGAAATATTAAGTTTAATGCACACAAACTGAAGAAAACATGCACAGTTTGTAGTACTCTACTAACAATAGAATACATAACACTTACCTTTAATGAAGATCTGGTGATAATTGATGGGATGGGAGGAGGGGAGTGTGTGGAAGTTATTGTTTAGAAGAGGAATCCCCTTCCTTTAGGACTTGAGGTAGCAAGTCCTTCTTTTAATGTCACTAGGACCAGCTTGAGAGTCACTAGACTTCTGTCGCACAACATATCTGTCCATAGAGGTCACTATAGTAGCGATGGTTGATTGGGGTTTTGTATACAGCCTGGCCAGCTCCGACACACACACACTCCATTTCATACTTTGCAATTATCTCTTTCTTCATTTCAATAGTCATTAGCACCCTTTTTTCTCGAAGGGTTGGCACTAGAAGCTCTCTTGGGGCCCATGGTGACTTATTTTGCAGAAACAAGCACTGATAATATGGAATGTACCGAATGTATCCTTAGATGCGAGCACACTGACTGGCTTGTAAACACTGGCACATACTGAGCAGTTCAGGCAACACGTGGACACGTCTCGGACGATTCACGTATACCGGGTTTTTTAACGGGAACTGAGGCAAAATTTTTGCATTAAAATGTATCGAATACCAAATTTATCAGATACCGATGCCATCGCAAACCAGGGGTCCACTGTATTTGTTAATTTAATTGCTCTGAAACCACTACCACCTCTGTTGATATATAAAAAACAATGTTCAACTTGAATCAACTATGTCTTGTATAAAGTAGTCTGCTCGAAATGCCATGGTATAATAGTGGGTTTCTTTGCACTTAGCAAATCAGTATTGTAATTACACATTGTAAACTATGCATGGAAATAAAAATTTGAATTTGAATATGTATCTGTTTACATACTTGTTGCTGTTAATCATCATTTTTTTTAATCATTTGGGCTTTTGTCCATTTTGTCCTGCCATTTTTTTATTCAGAATTGCAGAAATCTGTTAATGAAAAGTTTTACCGTGGTGGTGGTGGTGCTAGAGATAGAAATAAGAGGGTAGTAGTAGTAGTAGTTAAAAAGTGACAAACTGTAGTATTAGCTAAGAAATAGTAGTAATAATAATAATAATAGAGGTAGTCTTTAATAACAAAAGAACATAGGAGTTCTGCAGGAGAGCTGTAGGCCCATAGGGGGTACGACAAAATGCCCTGCAGGACAAAACCCTCATAGGACAAAACCACCTAGGTAGGAATGTTAGTGAAAATATAGGAAAGGTGAAGCAGTAAGGAGAAGAGACAAAGGTCAGGCCATCATGAATGCTCTTTAATTTAGAGCATTTGACAATGTAATGAGAAAGGAAGGCATTGACAGACATGAAGCCAGTACTAAGATTCATATTAGGAATGTTGTGTATAAGGGAGTCTTCAAAAAGATGGAACCTGTGAAGGCTAGAAGAGTAGACAGTTATGAAAAAGGACCAGTTTCTTGTATGATTATCATCTCTAACATGACAGAAGAGAGCATTAGTGTCAACAAGGCTAGCACTTTCGTGCTAAGTCTGTCACAGAGCAGCTAGTTTCTCCAAAGTATTGGAGTGGACAAGAGGAGCAGGAAATGGAATAGATACTGGAAGTATCATTGGCAGGAGGAGAGATATGAACTGGATTACTACAAAGGATATTTGTTTGGTAAAGACTCAGTTTGATGTCAAAAGAATAGAGAGCAGTAGAGTTCACAGGAGAAGAGAGTTTAGAAGATAAGAAAATCTGTTTAGCATGTGAACATGTGAGTTTATGAAATAAGGGTTGCCAAGGCTAGAGAACAAGCTGCGATGATTGGAAATTTCCGAGTCAAGAGATTGAGGGTGACAGTTACTGAGGACATGGAAAAAGTGAGACACAAAAACACTTCTTGACAGAGGGAGCATGGTAAGAAAAGTAGTGAAAGTGCATGCCACTGTGTATTGGCTTGCAATGAACAGAAAAAGAAAAGCCTGTAGCCAAACAGTGGACATGCGCATCAGGGAAAGGAAGCAAAGAGTTAGATTCCCATTCATGTTTGGACTTGATGGAAGGAGCAAGATTGTTAAGAGCATCAAGAAATGGTTGGAAGAAACTAGAGCCATGTGGCCAAAAAGCAAAGTCATTGTCCAGATATCACAGCTATAGAGAAGGGAATCTAGTTCTTCCTCTCCATCACTCATTAACAGGCTTTTCTTTTTCTGTTTATTGCAAGCCAGTGCACAGTGGCATGTACATTCACTACTTTTCTTACCATACTTTCCTTGGTATAAAATACAGATTTGTTTGTGACTTCATAGAGTGCATTGTGTGGGCAAAATGTTGTCAATAAAGGATCACGTTATACTGCATTTGTGTGTTTTTCCAAGGATAGTACATATTGGCCTCTTTGAGTTCAGCTGTGAGGCCTTTGAAATGCTGCTGTAACTGGCTGGAGTGTGTGCAAGTCAATTATGTAATACCTCATGAAGTTGTTTTATACTCGGTGGTTCAGCAGAAGATAATGACTGTATTATTGTTATCCTCTTGTTCTTCGTCACGTTTGTGAGTTTGTTGCTGTTGTTTGCTTCCTTTATTTACAGACTTTTCTCTTTACAGAGAGTGCTTCAGTTTGGGTATGTGTTGTTGGTGGTGGTGTTCATACTGCGATGCCAGCAGAGGAGTCGTGACTGGCTGACAGAGAAGCAGCTTTTTAGCTCTGGTCTTGATGTTTGTCCTCTAAATGCTAAGGTCAGTATTACAATGAATTGTGCTAATGGATAAATTTTTTATTATTATTTTTATTATTAACACACTGGCCGATTCCTACCAAGGCAGGGTGGCCCGAAAAAGAAAAACTTTCACCATCATTCACTCCATCACTGTCCTGCCAGAAGGGTGCTTTACACTACAGTTTTTAAACTGCAACATTAACACCCCTCCTTCAGAGTGCAGGCACTGTACTTCTCATCTCCAGGACTCGAGTCCGGCCTGCCGGTTTCCCTGAATCCCTTCCATAAACGTTACTTTGCTCACACTCCAACAGCACGTCAAGTATTAAAAACCATTTGTCTCCATTCACTCCTATCAAACACGCTCACGCATGCCCGCTGGAAGTCCAAGCCCCTTGCACACAAAACCTCCTTTACCCCCTCCCTCCATCCTTTCCTAGGCCGACCCCTACCCCGCCTTCCTTCCACTACAGACTGATACACTCTTGAAGTCATTCTGTTTTGCTCCATTCTCTCTACATGTCCGAACCACCTCAACAACCCTTCCTCAGCCCACTGGACAATAGCTTTGGCAATCCCGCACATCCTCCTAACTTCCAAACTACGAATTCTCTGCATTATATTCACACCACACATTGCCCTCAGACATGATATCTCCACTGCCTCCAGCCTTCTCCTCGCTGCAACATTCATCACCCATGCTTCACACCCACATAAGCGCGTTGGTAAAACTATACTCTCATACATTCCCCTCTTTGCCTCCAAGGACAAAGTTCTTTGTCTCCACAGACTCCTAAGTGCACCACTCACTCTTTTCCCCTCATCATTCTAGATTCACCTCATCTTTCATAGACCCATCCGCTGACACGTCCACTCCCAAATATCTGAATACATTCACCTCCTCCATACCTCTCCCTCCAATCTGATATTCAATCTTTCATCACCTAATCTTTTTGTTATCCTCATAACCTTACTCTTTCCTGTATTCACCTTCAATTTTCTTCTTTTGCACACCCTACCAAATTCATCCACCAATCTCTGCAACTTCTCTTCAGATCTCCCAAGAGCACAGTGTCATCAGCAAAGAGCAGCTGTGACAACTCCCACTTTGTGTGTGACTCTTTATCTTTTAAACTCCACGCCTCTTGCCAAGACCCTCGCATTTACTTCTCTTACAACCCCATCTATAAATATATTAAACAACCACGGTGACATCACACATCCTTGTCTAAGGCCTACTTTTACGGGAAAAATTTCCCCTCTTTCCTACATACTCTTAACTTGAGCCTCACTATCCTCGTAAAAACTCTTCACTGCTTTCAGTAACCTACCTCCTACACCATACACTTGCAACATCTGCCACATTGCCCCCCTATCCACCCTGTCATACGCCTTTTCCAAATCCATAAATGCCACAAAGACCTCTTTAGCCTTATCTAAATACTGTTCACTTATATGTTTCACTGTAAACACCTGGTCCACACACCCCCTACCTTTCCTAAAGCCTCCTTGTTCATCTGCTATCCTATTCTCCGTCTTACTCTTAATTCTTTCAATAATAACTCTACCATACACTTTACCAGGTATACTCAGCAGACTTATCCCCCTATAATTTTTGCACTCTCTTTTATCCCCTTTGCCTTTATACAAAGGAACTATGCAATATGAACTATGAACTATGCAATACTTTCATACATTCCTTTCTTTGCCTCCATAGATAACGTTTTTTTGTCTCCACATATACCTCAACGCACCACTCGCCTTTTTTCCCTCATCAATTCTATGATTAACCTCATCCTTCATAAATCCATCCGCCGACACATCAACTCCCAAGTATCTGAAAACATTCACTTCTTCCATACTCCTCCTCCCCAGTTTGATATCCAATTTTTCTTTATCTAAATCATTTGATACCCTCATCACCTTACTTTTTTCCATGTTCACTTTCAACTTTCTACCTTTACACACACTCCAAAATTCGTCCACTAACCTTTGCAATTTTTCTTTAGAATCTCCCATAAGCACAGTATCATCATGCAGTAATTATCATATATTATTGTTCAAAGTCAGGTTGCATTTGCTTCTCAAAATGGCAATGATTGTATTGTAATTTCCTTTAGATCTGCCATGGTACTTTATTTGTATTGTTGTTATAGTGTAGTGCTCTAGACTGCATGCATAATTAGTAATTAAAGATACTAATTGTTATTGGACAAGATATCAGAGTTTGTGTTCGTCCATTACTGTTATATTTCTAGGTTCACTACAACATGGGTAAAGTTGCAGCTGACACAGGTGATGTAGTAGAAGCTGTAAGACGTTACCGGGAAGCTCTACGACTAAATCCAGATTATGACCAAGCCATGAACAACCTCGCCAATATTCTTAAGGTAAGTGCTATGCCACAAGGTAAGGTAAGGCATGCCACAACTCTGGAGAGAAATGGTATAAAATATTAGAGTGATGGGGAAAAAATAGATGCACTGTAATGCTACCATTTATTGATGATGATTTGCCCTTGCAGTGTGCTTTATTAAGTTACAAACTGATCTGCATCTGACTTGATAAAACCCATTGTATGGGCAAAACATTGTGAATAATAAATTGCATTATACTTCATGTGTGTCTGTTTTTCCTCATGACAACTTTTTTAGGGCATTTGCATTTTATGCATTATTTTGGGTTGGAGCTCAGCTAAATTTATAGCATCCTATGTAATTTTTTAGGATTTTGGAGCAAATGGACTTTGCAGTTTCCAGTGAAAGAAGGAGGATGTTAAATGGGGAGAAGATATTTTGATGAGTTGTTGAATGTTGGTGATGTAAAGCAGTGATTTCATGAATTGGGCAGGGACGGATAACATCATATAGAGATGAGGAGCAGCCTTAGGTGGATGTGAGAAAAGTGTGTGAGGCAGTAGGTATCTAGAATGAAAGGGGGGTAAAGCAGCTGGAACAAGGGAATTTATATACAGTAGACCGTCATTTAGCACGAGTTTATTTGGCACGATCTGGGTAAAGCACGATTGAAGAATTGCGGCACAATTTTACGTAACACGTCGTAAGATGAATCTAACACAGTTCAGTTTGCAGGAAGGAAAAAAAAAAAACTTCCCTTTTCGTCAAGCAGCCACCTTGTTGTGGATCAGCCAGGGAGACCTCCTGCCATCCCCAGCCACCCCCAACACCACCCCATCATCCCAGCATTTGTGCTTCATACGTGTCCAGTCCAACTTCTCTGCTACAAGCTTGTGATTGTGAATTGTATTTTGATCTTTTATTTGCTATATTTTGTATCTGCCAAGCAATCTTGACACCCAGTAGGCATACCAGTGTTGCTCAAAGTGGCAAGAAAATGTGTAAGCATTTAACCCTTTGAGGGTTTCGGCCATACTAATATGGCTTACGACCCAGGGTTTTTGACGTACTATTATTATTATTTTTTTATTATCACACTGGCCGATTCCCACCAAGGCAGGGTGGCCCGAAAAAGAAAAACTTTCACCATCATTCACTCCATCACTGTCTTGCCAGAAGGGTGCTTTACACTACAGTTTTTAAACTGCAACATTAACACCCCTCCTTCAGAGTGCAGGCACTGTACTTCCCATCTCCAGGACTCAAGTCCGGCCTGCCGGTTTCCCTGAACCCCTTCATAAATGTTACTTTGCTCACACTCCAACAGCACGTCAAGTATTAAAAACCATTTGTCTCCATTCACTCCTATCAAACACGCTCACGCATGCCTGCTGGAAGTCCAAGCCCCTTGCACACAAAACCTCCTTTACCCCCTCTCTCCAACCTTTCCTAGGCCGACCCCTACCCCGCCTTCCTTCCACTACAGACTGATACACTCTTGAAGTCATTCTGTTTCGCTCCATTCTCTCTACATGTCCGAACCACCTCAACAACCCTTCCTCAGCCCTACTGGACAACAGTTTTGGTAATCCCGCAACCTCCTCCTAACTTCCAAACTACGAATTCTCTGCATTATATTCACACCACACATTGCCCTCAGACATGACATCTCCACTGCCTCCAGCCTTCTCCTCGCTGCAACATTCATCACCCATGCTTCACACCCATATAAGAGCGTTGGTAAAACTATACTCTCATACATTCCCCTCTTTGCCTCCAAGGACAAAGTTCTTTGTCTCCACAGACTCCTAAGTGCACCACTCACTCTTTTCCCCTCATCAATTCTATGATTCACCTCATCTTTCATAGACCCATCCGCTGACACGTCCACTCCCAAATATCTGAATACATTCACCTCCTCCATACCTCTCCCTCCAATCTGATATTCAATCTTTCATCACCTAATCTTTTTGTTATCCTCATAACCTTACTCTTTCCTGTATTCACCTTTAATTTTCTTCTTTTGCACACACTACCAAATTCATCCACCAATCTCTGCAACTTCTAGTACGCCTAAATTCTGGCGCCCTCAAATCTAGTGGGAGAAAGCTGGTAGGCCTACATATGAAAGAATGTATCTATGTGGTCAGTGTGCACAGTATAAAAAAAATCCTGCAGCACACAGTGCATAATGAGAAAAAAAAACTTTGACCATTTTTTTGGAATAAAACAGCGACTTTGCACTGTATTTTCATATGGTATTTGTTGTTGTATTTTGACTGGTTTTACAATGAAAAATACCTTGAAATTGAGCTCAAAGTAGCAGAAATGTTCGATTTTTACCCAAGTTCAAAAGTAAACAAATCATGCCAAGCATGCAATACACGTCAATTGGTGAGTCTAATATTCTTTCGCAAGTGCGCCAATATTATTTATACCATTTTTTACACTAATGCAGTAGTCTGCATAACAGTAAATCTTCTGTTTTTTGTGAGAATAAAAATTCAAAGTTGAAAGCAAAAGAATGTAAGAGGGGCCTTGAGACGTGACTAATGAACAGAGGAAATGTCATTTTAGTGCCAGGAATGTCTTACTTGTTTATTCTGGACCCTATTCGGAAATTGGCATCTTTTGAAATTTGTGTGAAATTGGCAAAATTGCTAAATTCTGACCACTGTACTGGATAGTTGAAATTGGTAAATGGGTGGTTTCTTGCACCCATTCGATAGAAAAAAATGGAGTTCTAGCGAAATATTCATGTTTTTTGTCGACTAGTACAGTGGAATTGGCCGAAAATGGGGCTCAAAGTGGGCAAAATCGTCGATGCGTAAACATCGCTGAGACCGCTAACTTCACAAGAGCATAATTCCTTAAGTTTTCCATCAAATTTCATACTTTTGGTGTCATTATTATCAGGAAAAGATTCTCTATCTTTTCATAAGAAAAAATTATTTTTTTTTTAAATTTGGCCGACCCTGAGAACGAGTCTTGGAGAGGGCCTGTCGACCCTCAAAGGGTTAAGTCTTAGAATTAAGGAAGGAAACAAAGATATTAGACAAGACATCATGTGGCCATAATGAAGTGTTACTTTGTACATATAAAAAAAAAGAGGTAAACATAAGTTTGTGTGACTTACTGAATGACTGACTTACTGAGTGACTTGACTGACTTACTGAACAACTTGACTTACTGTATGACTTGATTGAATGACTTAAAGTTAAACACTCCAGTACAACCATCAACTTCAGTACCAGAACCTCTGCCATCCATCTCAGCCCAGTAGAGCCACAGCATAACTCTCCACTCTCTTCACAGTCATCCACAAACACCAGCACCCACAATTTAAGGTAAGAAATACTACTATTTCTGTTACATTTGTAGTCTTAAGCGGTAAAAACAACATAATACATCACAACAATGAACTACAATTACATATTTACTTTTATTTTTATAAGATGTGAAGGCATAAAAAAATGTTTGGCTTTTTGGGGGCTCTCAGGAATGTAACCCTATTTTTCCCATAAGTTCTTCAGTTCCTCTTACACGGTTTTACCTAACACAGTGTTTTCAGGAACGTAACTACCGTGTTAACCCTTAAACTACCCAAACAGATTTACGTTCACATGCGTAGTGCTCCAAAAGTAGATCTACATTTATTTACATATTTTCAAATATAACAAAAAAGAAGTAGATGAAAGTTTTTTGCACGTTTTCAAATGTAAAAGAAAAAAGATCTACATTTTTTAAATACTTTCAAATGTTGAAAAAACGTAGATCTACGTTTGGACAGTTTAAGGGTTAAATAACGGTCTACTGTACATTGAAACTTGTTCTGACAATAACCCCATTATACAGTGCACATATTGCATGTTGAGACATAATAAACAAAAGATGATGAAATCCAGAGTGAAAGCATTTATGTTGAGACTTGTTAAATTAATAAAGGATAAATACTCCATTCCTAGGTAATAGGTTGGTAGACAGCAACCATCCTGCCAAGTGGGTGTAAAATGGAAGCCTGTAATTGTTTTATATGATGGTAGGATTGCTGGTCTTTTTTCTGTCTCATAAACATACAAGATTTCAGGTACGTCTTGCTACTTCTACTTAAAATTAGGTCACACTACACACATGCATGTACAAGCATATATATACACACCCCTCTGGGTTTTCTTCTATTTTCTTACTAGTTCTTATATTTGTTTATTTCTGCTTATCTCCATGGGGAAGTGGAACAGAATTCTTCCTCCATAAGCCATACGTGTCACAAGAGGCGATTAAATGCCAGGAGCAAGGGGCTAGTAACCCCTTCTCCTGTATACATTACTTTGTTTAACCCTTTGACTGTTGCAGGCCCCTTTCTCAAAATGTCATTCTATGTCGCAAAATATTTGAAAAAAAAAAAAATTTCTTACCAAAATGTTAGGATTATTTTACTCAGTGTTTTAAGCCTAAAAACATTTTTTGCCATCAGTACTTACCGAGATATGGAGGCGCAAAGTTGGCAGAAAATGAGCGGCGTATGGCAACAGCGGCGAATGCTGCCCACCCGGTATTCTTTTATTTATTCCAATTCAAAGGTTTCTTGTATTTTCCAATATTATTCTCTTCTAAGTAACTTATGTGGCCTGTGAGACCAAGGTAAGGTGCATTGTTCAAATATACACTCATTGTTTACAAAACAATAACTGAACAAACATTATTACTATTAGATTATGTATAAAACTTGTTTACACAAACAAGCAATACAAAACATTGTTTATTACTATTGTTCCATAATATATATACATATGTACAGTCACTGAACACTTTCCTAGAACTGCTGCAGCTTGTGGAACTCTTTGAAACATGGGTATATGCACAGTGGTACTTGACACTCCTCACACATAAAACAAGTGTCTCTGCGTGTTTGTGGGCATTTTGTGGTATGTCCACATAGAAAACACCTCTTCTGATCACTTTTCTTGAAAGCAGTAGGAGGCAGTTGTATGGGGTAGTGATCACCAGGCCTCAAACAAGATGGCATGTGTTGG